AAAAAGACAAGCAAAATAAGTTTAACACAACACACACAACAATTTAGGAGCTGATGTATTTAGCTTAAAAATATATGTAGCGAACAGTTTGAGTATCACTGTATTGTGACACTTAATAAACGCAGCGCAAACAGCTGTGACAAGAAATACTAAACGAAGTAAACAAAATGAGCAAAAAGAAATGTGCAAAAATAGAAACGATCTCAGTTAACCACAAAGGAATAACAACAACAATGATAACAACAAATGACTCGGCAAGATTAGATGTATGCTAGTGAAATTTAATTAAATTTAATATAAACCACAAAAATCACAAAACTTTCACTTAGCTTCGATTATTATCACACTAAGATGCTCGTAGGCACTTTTTATAGCAACTTTTACTCAGAATTAGCACAATAAACTTTGCAAAATACAAAGACAAATCAGAGCACAATATAAGTAGAACTTCACAGCTTGACGTTTGCTTATACTCCTAATTAACCGTGTATGTTCTTGTGGTGTGATTGTACCAGCTACTGGTGCGACTTCAAAAACTATTTGAACATTTTATGATTGTACCAGCATGCTGGTGTCGAGAGTGGTGAAATTAGCTCAATTTTCTAAGTAAAAAGTATTTTGGCGGAAATTTCTTGCACTATATGAGTCAAAGCTGTGTTTGTGGAGGATTAAGTTCACGATATTGCAGTTGTGAATTAAAACAAAAATGTTTAAGAAAATGGTAGAAAAATTGTGAAATTTCGGCTCTAATCATTTCGATCTTTCCTCGACCTCATTTGTAAAGAAATAAATATTGTACCAGCATGCTGGTAAGTTATATGCTTCGAGTCTGATGGTAAAATCACTTGATGGAGCCAGCAAGCTGGTGTCGTATATTTACCCTTTTATACAAGGTTTTTTGGTTGGATAAAATATTAGCTTTTTTCCAGAGTTAATTGTTTTTCTATACCGTCACTTATTGAAAATGTTTGTGAGTACACTTATATATGTATATGTAAGTAAAACTTTTAGCTACCATTTTTAGCCACAACGACTTTTTTTAGCTCCGTTTTAGCCCTTTTTTTAAAGGAATTTGGCTACCACTAAAAATGAGCCGCGGCAACACTGCCTGCAAGTCAGCTGTAGGGAAAAATGGTGTTTGAAGACCCATATTTTTCACTGGATGTAGAGAGTGGTTATGCGTCTAATTTTGTTCAAAGGCATTGTGGATGCCTCTAGATAGGTCTACAGTAAGGAATAAGTTAATCTCTAACACTCGTTTCCATAAAAATCAAAAAATGGCTGGCCATTTTTTCTGGACTAATCTGATGAAAATCAATCTAGCTTGAAAACAGATATCGATATACTATTTGTTGACAATGTTCTTTCGTATAGCTGTAACTAAATCAATTATGTTGTTAATTATTTAAATCGAATTTAAAATCTTGTTTTTAGATCCTTGAATGCTTTTTGCGAGGATATCAAGGAATATAATTATAATAAAGCACATGTTACGGGAATGAATAATTATCTCAAAAATTTCGATTCGAGTTTTTTTTAAAGTATTTTAGATGATCCAAAAGTGGCATACAGAATTTCAAAATTTTTCCCACGTTACAAACATACCTCTGGTAATAAACCTGCTTGGTTCAGCTATAAGCTATGGCATCTAAAGCATTTAAAAAATAAGGCATTCATTAGTTTAAAAAAACAGGTACATTAGCCGATTATTTAAACCAGAGATGGACAGATTTTTAGCTCTTAAAGCAGTCAAAGTGTCAGCAAATGCTGGGCAAGAGGTAAAGCAGTACTCAGGTTAAGGAGTTGTAAAATATACATTAAAAGCATTATTACTCCGGCTCCCATGGTATTCATCGCAAAGTGGCTGCGGAAATACTAACTAAATAATAATTATCATATATACTATATATGAGTTGAGATGGACGCATCCACAAACAACCACGAGCTAAGAGTGAAAGTATTATGGCCTGATTATGGCAACTTAACCCAATTAACCCCAGATTAAATATTTTTAGATTTTTTTTTGCTTATATACAGGATAAAATTATCTTTAAAGTAAAGGAAAAAATATGACTAAAACTTTGGGAGTAGTATCGTCGTCGATCCGGGTTTTACACTCGGGTATTACAAGAGGTGGAGGGGTTCTCATTGCGGTGTCAACTAAATTCGCTAGCCGTGAAGTGGGTCTTACGCAAACAGACACTCTCACCGAGCAAATGTGTGTTGCTGTTAATATTGGAAA